CACCTCCCTTCCCAGCCTCCCCCCTCCCCCCCCACCCAATCAACCCCCTCCCCCCCCACGCCGACATTGTAAAGCTCGTTTTTGACGTGACATTTTGTGCTTCTCATTGTTGCAACAGGTCCACCTGAATCCTTAAACGACTTGTTTGTCCCCATCTCCTCCACAAGTTATACTGACATCAAATATAGTGAAAGCGGGGGTTACACTGTGGGGGAGGGACATACACAGCAACAAAGAAATAATCTTATAAATGCATTAGAAACACATGTATGAAAGAAAAAATACATTAAAATACATATTTAAGGGATCGTTTTCCTAACATCACATTATCTGACCTTTTCCGCTTGACTCATACATATACTAGATATTGCAAATAAGGGAAACCATGGGACCTATGTTTCTTTGGGCCTGGCTTACTTCACTTAATATAATTTTTTCCAAGCCTTTCCATTTCCTAGCAAATGGGGGAATGTCATTCTTTCTGATGGAGGCATAGAATTCCATTGTGTACATATACCACATTTTCTTGATCCATTCATCTACTGAGGGGCATCTGGGTTGGTTCCATATATTAGCTATGGTAAATAATGCTGCAATAAACATAGTTGTGCTGGTAGCTTTAGTGTGGTCTTGTTTGTAAACATTTGGGTAAATGCCCAAAAGTGGGATTGCTGGGTCATAGGGGAGTTCTATGTGAAGTCTTTTGAGAAACCTCCATACTGCTTTCCAAAGTGGTTGAACAAGTTTACATTCCCACCAACAGTGAAATAAGGTTCCTTTCTGTCCACATCCCCTCCAGCATCTGTATCACCTCACTCCAGTTAGAACGGCAAAATCAAGAACTCATTAGTTCCTTCTTTCTAAGCTATATTTTTGTTACCTGATTCTCTCTATTAATTTGACGTTTGGCTTATTCCTGCGTAGAGTATGAGGTTCTTGCTTGTGTTTTCCATGAATTCTTCCATTAATTTTTGGTTAGCCTCATCTCACACGCACAAATTGTCTTATGCCCAATTTCAATTGTTATTCATGAAGTTTATCAGCAATGCTTTTAGTGTATTTTTTCAAGTGTATTCTCAGCTCCTATTCATGTACTCTGTTGTCTAGATATTTTCTGGAATAAGCTCTTTTAGCCCTAATGCTGTCTTCTCTAAAAGGTGTAAGGTAATTGCTGTCTACTGTTGGATTTCAGCTCTACTTAAGAAGAGAGAAAGGCTATATAATGAAGAGTAGGTTAGCTTATGTGTTTGTTTTACAAACAACAAATCATCTTGTATGAACACATATTTCAAATCATCATATCTGTAGACCCAGATATTTATCTTGGAGATTTACATTCTCAGAAGACTGAGGAAGAGAAAGAGGATAAAAGCAGATTCTCAGCTCAGTGTGTCAGAAATCAGAGATGTTCTGCACTGCAATTTCTATAGGAACAGCCTGACTTAGGATCCTTTAGAGGAAGATCCTCAGTTGCCAGATGTAACTTGATTCTACTTGTTACTGGAGTTAAATGCAGCTATTCCCATCAGAGATGCTGGGATGGAGAACATAATGGGGGATGTAATAATTTTTAGAAAGTTCCTGTGTAGAACAGGTCCTGGTGTTGTTTTCCCAGGCACCTCCCTGGCTGCATTTGTTCCCAGGTGTGTTGCTGACCACACCTGGTAGATTTAGGGCGAATTGGGTTCTTTGCTGGCACAGGGACAGGTTCTGGTGTTTTTTTCCCAGATGTTCCCTAGCTATGTGCCCTGTTGCTGTCAGTCAGCAGGAGTTTTGAGTTGGGAGTTGTAGTTTGCTAGCAGAGGGGCAGAGATGTATTCCAAGGGACTTTCCTCTATAGCTGCAGAAGGGGTGGGAAAAGAATTTGTATGTTTTTTTTTCTTCAAATATGTTCCCCTCCTCTTCAGCTTGGGAAAGAACTCAGTCAGGGCATTTTGGGTCACCAAAGAAGCTGGTCTTCTAAGATTGGAGTACCTCAATGTGTACTCACAGATTCTGGAGCCAATATGGGCCAGCGAAGTCTTGGTGAGGGACTTCTGTGTCCTCAAGTGGCAGTGTCTAACACATTTTCTTGATTTACTCCCTACTCTTCTCAGTCCCCTCCACCTTGCCCCCACTGTGTGGTGTCTCTCTCCTCCTTTTGGTCTCCCTGCATAGTCTGGGGCAAAACAAGGCCTAGATTCCAGTAGTTCAGCGGGGGTGTGTGTGCTGCCTTACTGTTTTCTGTTTTGGCATTATTGTGGTGGGATATCTTCTTCTGTCTTATAATGACTCTGTCGTTTAAACTTTGATTGGTATGGATCTCATAAAGTGGAGTGTGTGTTGGGAACCTAAACCTCTATTTGGTCAGAGATAGCTTGGTAATTTACCAGTGATGACACCACCACCTTTCTAGAAGTATCAGGCCTATTTTAGATGTGTGTCAGTAAAGTCTTGACTTGATAGTTTTCTAATTTGTTGATGCAAGTAATCATGGATATGGACTGTCATCTGAGCACTCCCTTTGTTGTACCCACATTGAGTTGGTATTTCATGTCTTCATTTGCATCGAATCCTAGAACTTAGTAAATTTCCTTTCTTATATCTATGAAGATGTGCTGATTACTCAGTATTGAATTGTTCACTCTCCACGATTTTATCATTTTCTATGATGGGTTTTCATGTTGAGTATACTTGTTGAGTATACTTCCTCATATCGTTTCCTTGATTATTAATCGTTTTGTCCCTCTTTTTTACATTTTATTGTCAAGGTGCTGTATCGAGGGGTTACAGGTATATAAGTAAGATAGTGATTACATTTCTTGTCTAACTTGTAACTCCTCTCTCATTTATCTCCCTCCCTCCTTGCTTCCTCCAAGCTCCCCCCAAGTAGTACTGATTATATCCAACATATTGTCTTATGAGTATTGCTGTTGCATTGGTTCCCCCTTTGTCCTTTGTCTCACTATTTTGTTGCTCACCTTCCCTTCTCTAGTTCAGATAAATGTATATACAATACTCAGGGTATGAAAATCAAATACAGTGACAACAGGGAATAAATCAAAGGTCAGAAACAAAAGAAGAAATGCACTCATTACCTTGCCCATATAATTGTAACCCCTCGTTAGGTTTTTTCACAATCAAAAAGAAAAAAAAGAAATCATGTAGTACATAGACTGAAATTTTACTTTGATATTTCTTGTAGGAAAGGCATGGTGGAGATACATTCTCTTAATTGGGCTTGTCTGAGAACATATTTATACCTTCCATATTACGAAAGGATATCTTGGTAATACAATAGTCTTAGTGTATAATTTAGATATTTTTATCTTCAGTACTGCAAAAGTCTCGTGAAATGTTCTCCTGACTCCTATGGATTCTACTGAGGAGTCAGCAGTTAGGAAAACAGGGGTCCAACTGTAAGTTATGGGTCCAATTTCTGTTTTAGCCTAAAGAATCTTTCATTTATATGTATTTCCCTTGTGAGAGCTTGTTCATAACACTGTAGATGTCATGGTCAAAACTTTGATTATACTTCCATTGTTAGGTATCTTACATTGTGTCCTTGTTTACATTAGGAAATTTAAATTCTGTCACATGCATTTAGAACATACATTTAAACTTTTTGACATTCCCAAACATCTGAATCCCCAAAACTCTAATATATACTCATTCTAAGTTACAGTTTTAAACTCTATAGATGCATGTTCAATCTACTTTTCTTCAACCTCACTATTATGTTCTGTTTTGAGGACTTCACTAACATGATAGGCTTTCACATATACCCACACTAAATATTGAGTCATCCTTTTCTGTATTTCCATTATGCCTTCATTATTTCCTTTTTATAACAATGCCTTTTGATTTCATTATATTAATTTCTTTTTTTCCAGGGCTGAGGACCGAACCCAGGGCCTTGCGTGCACCGGGCTGGCACTCTTCCACTGGGCTAAACGTCCAGCCCCTATATGAATTTCTTTAGAATATGTACAGGCACAAACACACCCTTGCACACAGACAGGACAGAGAGAAAGAAACAAAAATACTTTGATCCTTTCTATTATTTTCTTTATTCCTTTTCAGTATCACAATCTGAATATTCTGGGAAGAGAGTTGTGATCATAGCATTGAACCATGATGGACTTGGAATTGGGATTTCAATATAAAGCTTGCTTACAATTCTCTTTTCATCACCCATGTTGGAGGTTCCTCTCTCCATAAGTAGTTACTTGGAATTGGATACATTTTCTTTATTTTGTTACATAAATAATAATAAAACTCCCTCACCTCATATTTGAGATCTTTTTCTGGTTGATATTACAAGAAGAACTGCTCAATAGTTTGGGTCTGTTAGCACACCCTGCTATAGGTTCTTTCATAAAAATACCCATTGCAGGCTAGGAATGTGGGTCAGTGTTAGAGTGCTTGCATTGCATGCATGAGGCCCTGGGTTCAATTCCTCAGCAACACATAAACAGAAAAAGCCAGAAGTGGTGCTGTGGCCCAAGTGGTAGAGTGCTAGCCTTGAGCTAAAAAGCTGAGGGACAGCACCTAGAGTTCAAGCCCTACAATTGTCAACTAAAAGCCCTTTGCTTCTGAAAGTTGCTCTTAAATTTATTCTTTATACCGGCTGCCACATAAGTACATAATATAAAATTAGTGACTCAACACACAAGATTTATTTTTCACACAGGTGGACCTAATTGCCCTAAGATAAAGGCAACAGAATATTTACAGTCTTACAAAAACCTAATCCACAGACAACATGTTTTTGCTGTGGTTCATGTGATAACGGGGTGCAAGTTCTCTCTCATGGCTTAAAAATGCATTTCTCAATATAATTCATGGAAAAATTGCCTTCATATCCTTACCTAATTCTATACACAACCATAAGACATTACATTCCCATTCCATCCCAACTGGGGATAGTGTTTTGATATATTAACTGGCACAGAAGCAGTATTCAATCCATCAAAGCTAAGTTTTGAAAAAGTGACTCAATTTCTATTCTCATTATGCAGAATCTTAAAGGATTATCAGCTTGTTTTGGCCTTGGCTTTTGCTATTGAGCAGATCAACAAAAACCCTTCTCTTTTACACAACTTGACTCTGGGATTCGATATCTATGATGCTCAATACAGAGGTTGGACAGCGCTTAGGAATCCCTTCACGTGGCTCTTTGGGAATTACAAGATTCCAAACTACTCCTGTATGAGAGACAGTAGGTCTGTAGCAGTATTTACAGGACCATCAACAATAACATCTGACCAGATTGGGACATTGCTGAGACTCTACAGATTTCCACAGGTGAGAGTAGAAAGTGTGGAAGGATATAAAAATGCATAATTTGGTGCCATTTCAGGTGTTACCAGAAAATTATAGGAAAAGACTGGACTTAATTATTAAATTTTATGGTATCAAAGAACAACTACTTAAAGATTGGGGAATCTATCTATCCATCTAAATATCTATCTAAATATCTATTTATATCCCTGTTTGGAAAATGAAATGGAAGAGTTCAAACAGACAAATGGACAATTTATTGTTTTATCAATGATTTTCTTTAATAAATCAGAAAATGGAAAATGACTTTGCAGTGTGAAGATATGTTGAGCAGGGTACTGATGGCCCACAGTTGTAATCTTAGCAACTCATTAAACTTGTATCTCCAATTCACCAGAAAGAGAACAAAATGAATGATTCAAGAGATACAGCACTAGTCTTGAGGGTAAAAGCCAAATAAACGCAAAAGGCCATTGGTTGGTGCCTTTTAACTGGCATGCACACACACACACACACACACACACACACACACACACACACACACGCACGCAAGATATTATGTAGAATGAAGTAAGTCTTGCTCACAATGAGAAGGGGTCAATGCATTCTCTCACCTGTGAAAATTAGATCGAAAATATGAATATGAAATAAATATGGAACACTCATAGCCATTTACATAAAAATATTATCTCTGAGAGTAAAGTAAGTTATACAAAGGGGTAGAACTCCATGCTGTAATTTTTCTGATCTAGTGACACCAGACAGCACCAGAAAAGTGAAGCTTATCTTGACTTAGTGAGGTAGGTGTTAAGACAAAAAGGCAGATTACAGAATGTATGGGTGGGAAAACAAACATAATATAGTCAATGGACACATGTGAAAATTGAATTAGGAAAGTCACGGAGTGGGAGGGATAGATATAGATGTGAAGTTGATAGAAATAGTAGCAAAGATCAAGAGACACTTTACAAATGAATTCATATGTTTCACAACTATTAAAAACAATTAAATTATTTTTCAAAAATTATAACAAAAATCTACCTTCCACCAACTGGTTCTTAACATACTTCAGAGATTGTGATGCATAGCGATCTTCTCATTCACGGAGCATTCAACTTTTTTCCCTTTAGTTTACCATTGGTTCCTTTGATCAATCCCTGAGTGACCATAACAAGTTTCCTGCTCTCTATCAGATGGCCAAAAAGGACACCTCAATAACCACTGCTATGGTGTCCTTACTACTTCACTTCAGCTGGAACTGGGTGGGACTGATGACCTCACAAAATGAGAATGGTGTGTCAGTTCTTGCTGAATTAAAAGAAGAGATGGCCAAGAACAGACTTTGTGTGGCCTATGAGGTAGTGATCTCAAGCCAAGACCTGCAACATTTATACAATATGATGGGAAATTACAATGACATTAATAAAGCTTCAGCACGTGCTGTCATTATATATGGTGATCAAGATTCACTGAAAGCTTTAATGTTGGGTATTGAGCAAATACTCATAAAAGGCAAAATTTGTATCATGAACTCACAGTGGGATTTCACCCTGAAAAGGAAGTATTTCATGGTAGGCTCATTGCATGTACCTCTTATTTTTACACACCATTATGCAGATGTTTCTGGGTTTACAGATTTTGTCAAAGCAATTCATCCTTCCAAATACCCTGAAGACTTTGTTCTTGCGAAGCTGTGGTTTCTGTCATTTAATTGCTCAGATTCTGAGTCTGACTGTGTGACATGGGACAACTGTGTTCATGATGCTTCTTTGGATTGGTTGCCTGGGCATATTTTTGACATGACTATGTCTGGAGACAGTTACAATGTATACAATGCTGTGTACTCTGTGGCCCAGGCTCTCCATGAGCTGCTTCTTCATCAAACAGAAGTTCAAACACTGGGAAATAGAAAAGAAACAGTGCCTTCCCCAGTACAGGTAATGTCTTCTATGTTAGAGGGAACACACCCGGAGGAAAAGCTCTTTCTAGTGTGGTTTCTTCTTTTTTTTGTCGGTTGTGGGGCTTGAACTCTGGGCCTGAGTGCTGTCCCTCAGCTCTTCAGGTCAAGGTGAGCACTCTACTACTTGAGCTACAGTACCACTTCCGGTTTTCTGAGTGGTTTATTGGAGATAAGAGTTTCATGTTCTTTCCTGCCTGGGTAGACTTTGAACTGCGATCCTCAGATCTCAGCCTCCTGAGTAGCTAGGATTATAGGTGTGCGCCACCAGCACCCGGCTTCTAGAGGGGTTTCTTACTGTAGGAAATTAAATATTCCTGTAAGTATGCATGAATGTTTGTGTATATAAAAGAATATATATATATATATACACACACACACACACACACACACATACCATATATGAGTTTGTAAACATGTCATACATATCTGGGTTGCTAATAGAAATAAATATATATATATATATATATGTATATATATATACATATATATATATATATATGTCTGCATTGGAAACAATTTTCTCAAATGTTAAGCTTTATCCTTTTTATTGACAGAAACTACTGTAAACACAAAATTGAATAAACAGAGATTAATATTAAAAATTAAATATTTCTGTTGCTTTTCAAAACCCTAAGAAATGCTTTTTGTTTATAGGTCTTTGAGGAACTCTATAGTTGTGTGTATATGCTCTTATGGAAACAACAGGTCTGTAACAAGGATAAAATTTATTCTGAATTTCAATACATTTTTTTTTTGTCCATTCAGGGGATTGATCTCAGGACCTGGGCTATGTCCCTGAGTCTATTTGTGCTCAAGGCTACTGCTCAACCATTTAAGCAAAGCACTGCTTCCAGCTTCTTCTGAATAGTTTAAGGGAGACAAGTTTTTCAAGGGCTTTCCTGTCCCAGCTGGCTTCGTAGTGAGATCGTCTGATCTGTATCCCTTGATTAGCAAAGACTACATTCTTGAGCCACCAGCATAAATCTTATGAATTCCTTTAGTTACCAATAATCTCAACAGGTCAATAGCTAGTGTTTTGAAAACTACAAATTCAGCTTTTCCCTATGAATTTCTTCAGTCATATCAACTAAACAGAATTATCCATATTTTTCATAAGGGACATAGATTCATTCAATATTTGGTATTAAAAATTTTGCCACCTAAAACTATAGATATTCATAAAAGTAGTTGTTGGGTCAAGCTTTAGCAAAATGGTTTCTCTTGAAAAAGTCCTTCTATTCCTTTTCTGAGTGATCAAGCAAGGTTATTTCAAAAGGATTATTTTTTTTCCTCCATATGTTTTCTTCTGTGTTATTCTTGAATTCAGAATCAGACATTAAAAGGCAATTGATAGCTTTTCTTTTTCTTTATTGGGAAAATACTGTAGAGAGGGGTTACAATTACATGGGCAAGATAATGAGTACATTTCTTAACAAGCATTGTAGCCTCTTCCTTTGTTTCCCCTTCCCATCCTTTCTCATCCTCCCGCTGCCCCCTCCCAATCTTCCCGGCTCCCCCTGCCCCCTGCTTCCACCGCCCCCTCCCCCGTCCCCCGCCTCTGTTCCACACCAAAGTTGTGAAGTTCCCTTTCAACATAACGACTTGTATATCTCATTGTTGCAATGGGTCCACCTGTATCCCTATTTAAACGACTTGTTTTTCCCCTTCCCCTCTACAAATTGTACTGACATCAAATACAATGAAAGCAGGGGTTATACTCTGGGGGAGGGACATAGAAAGCAACAAAGAAATAATCGTATAGATGAGTTAGAAACAATCGAATGAAAGAAAAAAAAACATTTGACTACATATCTTAGGGTTCATTTTCCTAACATCACCTTATCTGAACTTTTCTGCTTGACTCAGACATAACTAGATATTGCAAATAAGGGAAACCATGGGACCTATGTTTCTTTGGGCCTGGCTTACTTCACTTAATATAATTTTTTCCAAGGCTTTACATTTCCTAACAAATGGGGCAATGTCGTTCTTTCTGATGGAGGCATAGAATTCCATTGTGTACATATACCACATTTTCTTGATCCATTCATCTACTGAGGGCCATCTGGGTTGGTTCCATATCTTAGGTATGGTAAATAATGTTGCAATAAACATAGTTGTGCTGGTAGCTTTAGTGTTATCTTGTTTGTGATCATTTGGTTAAAAGCCAAAAAGTGGGATTGCTGGGTCATAGGGGAGCTCTTTGTGGAGTCTTTTGACGAACCTCCAAACTACTTTCCAAAGTGGTTGAACAAGTTTACACTCCCACCAACAATGCAGTAAGATTCCTCTCTGTCCATATCCCCTCCAGCATCTGTTGGTTTTAGAGTTCTTGATTTTAGCCATTCTAATTGGAGTGAGGTGGTATCTCAATATTGTTTTGATTTGCATTTCTTATATGTCTAGGGAGGTTGAGCACTTCTTCATGTGTCTATTGGCCATCCTTCTTTCCTCTTCAGAGAAGTTTCTCTTTAAGTCTTTAGCCCACTTATTTATTGGACAGTTGTTTCTTTGAGGATTTGTTTTTGGAGTATTTAATTTTTTGAGTTACAAGCATATTTTAGATATGAGACCCTTGTCCATTGTATGGCTAGTGAAGAACTTCTCCCAATCCATGGGCTTTCTATTGATCTTGCTAACTATGTCCTTTGCCATGCAGAAGCTCTGCAACTTCATGCAATCCCATTTGTCCAACCTTTCTTTGATTTGTTGTGTTTCTGGGGCTCTATTAAGAAAATTTTGGCCTGAGCTAAGGAGATTGAATACTAGATTAAATACTAGATTGAAGAGAAGTGACGAAAGTGGACATCCTTGTCTTATTCCTGAGTTAAGAGGAAATGGCTTTAGTTTTTCACCATTAAGTATAATGCTTACTCTAGGTTTGTCATATACAGCCTTTATTGTATTGAGGAATGTTCCATGGATTAATAATTTTTCCAAGACCTTCATCATAAAGGGGTGTTGGATCTGGTCAAATGCTTTTTCTGCATCTATTGAGATAACCAAGTGGTTCTTATCTTTGCTCCTATTGATGTGATGAATGATATTAATTGAATTCCGTATATTGAACCAGCTTTGCATCCCTGAAATGAATCCTGTTTGATCAGGGTGTATGATTTTTTCATGGATTATTGTAGTCGATTGGCCAAAATTTTGTTGAGAAATTTTGCATCAATATTCATCAAAGAAATGAGTCTATAGTTCTCTTTCTTTGATGAGTCCCTGCCTGGTTTTGGGAAGGGTTATAATGTCTTCATAGAATGTTTTCAGTAGTGAACTTTCTCTTTCAATTTCATTGAAGATTTGGAGGAGTATTGGTGTGAGCTCTGCTTTGAAGTCCTTGTAGAATTCCACTGTAAAACCATCTGGTCCTGGGATTTTTTTAGATGGGAAGTCTCTTATTGCTGTTTCTATTTCAATGCTTGATATGGGCCTGTTAAGCTGTTTTAACTCATCTTGGTTTAGTTTTGGCATGTCAATATTTGCTAGGAAAAGTTCCATTTCTGCAAGTTCTCAAACTTATTAGCTTAAAGTTTTGAGAATATTCCCTTACAATTATCTGAATTTTGGTTGTTTCTGTGGTAATGTTTCCATTCTCATCTCTGTGTTTATGTATTTGGGTGTGTTCTCTTCTTTTTCTGATAAGATTTGCTAAAGGTCTGTCAATTTTGTTATTTTTTTCAACGCACCAACTCTGTTTTGTTGATTTTTTCTATAGTTTTTTTTGGATTCTAATTCATCTCTTAATTTTAATTATTTCTTTCCATCTACTGGATTTGGGTTTATCTTGCTGTCTTTTTCAAAGAGGTTCAGATGTCTCTGTAAATTGTTGGTTTCAGATCTCTCCAATTTGTTGATGTAAGAACTCATATTTATAAACTTGCCTCTGAGTATTGCCTTTGCTGTGTCCCAGAGGAGCTGGTAATTTGTGTGCTCATTTTTGTTGAATATCAAGAACATTTGAATTTCCTTTTTAATCTCTTCCATGATCCACTTGTGATTCAGCAGTGTCTTGTTCAGCCTCCATGTGTTTCCGGACTTTCTTTGATGGCTTTGGGTGTTGAGTTCTAATTTTATTCCCTTGTGGTTTGAGAGAATGCAAGGTATAACTTCAATGTTTCTGAATTTGGACAAGTTTGCTTTGTGACCTAAAATGTGGTGTACTTTGGAAAATGTTCTATGTGCTGCTGAGAAAAACGTGCATTCTGATGCTGCTGGGTGAAATATTTGGTAGATGACTGTTACATCTAGTTGATCTATGCAGTTGTTTAGATATGCGGTTTCTCTGTTGAGTTTTGCTGAGTTGATCTATCTTGTTGGGAATATGGTGTGTTAAAATCCCCAAAATTAATGTCTTTGGATCTTTGTGGTATTTGAGAGAAAGTAGTATTTCTTGGATAAATTTGGGTGCTCCATTGTTTGTTGAATAGATATTTAGAATTGTAATATCCTCCTGAAGGAGAGATCCCTTAATTAGTGTGTAGCCACCTTCTTTATCTCTTCTCAGAAATTTTAAGATGAAGTCTATTTTATCTGATATTATGATTGCAACTCCTGCCTGTTTATGGGGGCCGTTTGCTGGGGAGATTTTGTTTCAGCCTTTCACATTGAAAATGTGTTTGTTTTTATGGGCAAGATGTGACTCCTGAAGGCAGCAGATAGAAGGATCTGGCTTTTTAATCCATCTAGACAGTCTATGTCACTTAATTGGAGAGTTAAGTCCGTTAATGTTGAGAGATAGGACTGAGAGGTATTTGGGAGTTCCTGCAATGCTATCCACCTTCTTGGGGACTGCGAAACTGGGTTCTTCCTAAGGTTCTTGGATACTCAGTTTGGGTGCAGTTTCTTGGCCTTTATTGTGGCCTTGTTGGTTTTCTATGTGTAGGACCATCTTTAAAAATCTTTTGTAGGGCTAGTTTGGTGGAGATATGTTGTTTCAATTTTTCCTTGCTATGGTAGGTTTTTATTTGACCTTCAGTTATGAAGGAGAGTTTAGCTGGGTACAGTATTCTTGGTTGATAGTTGTTTGTCTTTAGGGCATGACATCCATCATTCCAGGCTCTTCTTGCTTTTATTGTCTCTGCTGAGAAATCTGAGATGATTCTAAATGCTTTCCCTTTATAGGTGATTAATCTTTTCTCCTGGACAGCTTTAAGGATCTTTTCCTTGGTCTGAATTGATCCGGTGTGGATTATAATGTGATGGTGGGATGTCCTATTCTGGTCTGGTCTATTTGGAGTTCTAAAAGTTTCTTGTATCTGAATAGGCCTATCTTTTTGCATGTTTGGGAAGTTGTTTGCTAGGATCCTGTTAAATTTCCTAGACCATTAACTTCTGTTTCTAGGTGCTCCTCTATACCCATTATCCCCAGATTAGGCCTTCTGATGGTGTCTTCCAAGTGTTGAATAGATCTATCACATTTCTTGGACTTGTCTTGGATGGTTGTATGCACTTTCTCTATAATCTCTAGGCTGTCTTCAATCCTCAAGATTCGATCTTCTGCATAGTCTAACTTGCTGTCAAGACTTTCTACTTTGGTTTTTATTTCTTTTCCTTCTAATTGGTCAGCTTTGATGGCTTCAAATTCTTTGTTGAAGCTTTGTTTTAGATCTTTTATGAACTTCTTTACTTCCTTAATTTGGTGTTCAGTGTTTATTCTCAAATCACTTAGTTGATTGGTTATGGTTTCCTTGGACTCCCATTCCTTCTGTTGGGTTCCATTCAGCATTCCCTTTGTGGTCTTCCTGACTTCCTTCAGCTCTTTGTTAATGGATTCCATGAATGCCTTTTGTGATCTTTGTGTATTCTCATCCTGCTCTATCAATTCCTGTATTACTCTTTGCTTAGCTTCCTCACATTCATGCTATTCCTGTAGTTCTCTTTGAGTGCTCTCAGCCTGCTCACGCCATTCTTGCCTTTCTCTTTGAGTGTTCTCAAGCCACTCACACAATTCCTGTATCAGTTTTTGAGTAGCTTCCTCATGTTCATTATATTCCTGTGTTAAACTTTGGTTTGCCTCCTGTCTCCCTATCACGCTCATGCACAGTCCTTCATAGGATTTCAAACTTTTCCTGTATTGACTTTGGTTTGCCTCCTCTCTCTCCCTATCATGCTCATACAGAGCCCTTTGTATGTTTTCAATCTTTTCATTTACCGTGTTTACCAGCAGTGTTTGTAGAGCTATTTGGGAACTCTCCTCTGGATTATTCATTATCTATTCTGTCCCCTGATTATCATGAGTGAGAGTTGAGATACTCGGACATGCCATTTTTCTTGTGTTTTTCCGGCTTACTTTGCCCATTTGATATGAAAGTAACACCAGTTTTGTGCTAGAACACTAACTTAAGGCAAGCATCAACCAAAGTCTGTAGTTGCACAGTCAAAAGTCTGCAGATGCAATATAGTTCAACAGATATATCTATTCAGCGTCAAACAACTATATATTAATGGGCTACGAACTGCAAAGAAGAATTTGGCAAACCAGAAATTATTAGGTTTAGGGAGAGATTTGGGTAAAAATAGGAATAGAGAGATTTGGGAAGGCTCAGGGAGAGTTAACTAAGTCCTAATCTCAAAGTGGGAAATAGGTTGGATAAGATGAAAGTAGAGAGGGAGAAAAAAAGAAGAAAGAGAAAAAAGAGACAAGAAAAAATTGAAAAGCAAAAATTAAAAATTAAAAAGTGCAATCCTTAAAAATAATGCAGATTGAAAAGGAAATATTCAGAGAAGAGCGTGGATATAATGAGTGAAGGAGAGGGATATAAAGGATACATGGAAAACTAAAAAATAAAAATGCTTAAAATATTATATAGGTATAAAGAGGTAGTACTGCTATTAAGGAATTTAAGTCTAAGAAGTTTTGAATTGAGTAATAAGTCTCTGTATTAAGCATGTACACAATGGGGGATAAGGTCTAATAATTGACTACGGATATATCTGAGGATGTGCAGAACAGCAATTAAGTCACACAAAGAAGAACTAAAGAGAAGAAAAGGTGCAAAGAATGAGAAAGAAAGATAAAAAAAGATCAGAAGTTCAGTAGCGCTAAAAAAAAAACAAAAAAATTAAAAAATAAAAGAATTTAAAAAAAGAAAGAAAAATGTACACACACATATACCCCTAAAATAAAAATTATAAGAGGAAGAAAGATAAAAGTTACTAGAAAACATTTTTTTAAAGGTAAAATTTAAAAATTAACAAAAAGTTTTAGGAAAAAAATTTTTTATGAAAGTTACAAAAAATAAGGTCTTTAATTTTTTTGGGAGGGGTGGGAAGATCCTGTATATCCCTTGTGTCCATAAACAGCCTCTTGTTGGAGTCTCTGGTCTGATTGTGGTGTTTGATTTTCCTGTGGCTTCGTTGGTTACTTAAGTCAGTTTGTTTGAGCAGGCAGAAAAATGCTCTTCTTTACCCAGGATTTTATGATCCTTCTCCCAGGCTAGTTCAATGGGAGGGAGATCTGCTTTGAGTATCACAAAAGAGGGAGATGGCTGTTTCCTCAAATTTGGAGATGCTGTGATGAGGCTAGGTTCTGGGTAGAGTTGAGGCCTTTCAACAAACAGTAGCTTTTCCCTGAGGGGCTAGATTGTGAGAGAATCACAGAGCCCAGCCTGGATCCATTCTCAGGGTTTCTGTTTACAGAATTTCAATTGATTGTCAAGGCTGCTAAAGGGACAGGCAGCCACTGGCTCTGTTTACCCAGTGAAGAAAGCCACTCCTGGGATTGGTGGCCTGACCTGGGTGACATTTCCCTGAGTGGAGCTGAGTCTGGCAGGTCAGGTTAGGTTCTTGTGACCTGCTAAATGACTCTAGTTTTCTTCAAGGCCCTAGTTGGAGCTAGCAGCTCAGTTGGGCCTTCAAAGATGGAGATCTCTGGTAGTCGTGGGGGAGGGGTAGCCTTCCCTCCTCTGTTCCCTGAGAAGGAGTGAAGAGGTCTGGCTTCTACTCAAAGCGAGTCTTGGTTCCTGGGTCATCTCTGGTCTGTGAAATGCAGGATGAAGATGTCTGCTCCTTGTCGGTTCTTGCTGGTGTTGAACAGAATCCGCTCATCCGCCACATCTGTCTCCTTCATCCCGGACTCTCTGTGTTGCAGGTATGGTCGCTATGGCCACGCCATCACCACCACCAAAGCAGCGGCAAGTGCTCAGATCTGTCTCCATGCCTGGATTTTCCCTTTCTGGCCTAACTCTCTGTTCTGTGATGGCACACTTGGTGTGATTCTCTGTCTTAGGATTGTTTACTGGAATACTAAAACTGCTTTCTATGCCAAAGCTTGTTTAGTCTCCAGCTTCCCCTTTGCCATCTTACCAGAACTCCCCAATTGGTAACTTTTCTTATTTCAGGTTTTCTCTCTTAACTTTGGGATGTACTTTGCCATAAGATGATGTCTCTCTTTTAGTTGAACCCTTTTCTGAAGAGCATCCAGTTTCAAAATCCCAGTGGAGATCAAGTGATTTTGGATGAGAAAAGGAAATTGGAGCCAGAGTATGACATTCTGAACATTTGGAATTTTCCAGAAGGGCTGGAACTTGCTGTGAAAGTAGGAAAGTTTTCTCCCTATGCTCCACATGGCAATCAACTGTCTTTGTCTGAAAATATGGTAGAGTGGGCCATTGAAAGTACAGAGGTGGGTTGGATCCAATCCTAATAATTTTAATAATACACAAATAAGCAAAAGTCTCTCTTCAAATGTATACCTGCCTGAGTTCCAGCAATTTTCTCCCATAATCATAGCTACTAAGATAGCTGGGATGTGAATATCATGGTTAAATGTCAGCCTACCCAGGGTAATCTGTGGGAATGTGACCTCCAATTAACCACAAAAAATCTGGAGTATAACTGTGACTCAAGTAGTAGATTGCTAACCTTAAGCAAGAACAGCCAAAATCCAGTGCCCAGATCTTGAGTTCAAGCCCCAGAATCAAAACAATAAATTGGGTTTCTCAATGTTGATTTCAAATATTGTCATAAACTATAAATTTAATTTTGCTCAGTGGGTTTCTAGCTTTGTGATAAAGTACCTGAGAAGTCATATATGTGGTTTAAAATTTTATTTTGCTCCCTTCTGAGTTGGTTCATTCAAGGGTTAGTTGATCTGCTACTTACCCATCTTTGATGAAGGTATCATCCTTGAAGGTACCTCTGAGAATATTCCCACCTCACGGCCACTGGCAAACAAAGAGGGAGATACCATGGGCCTGGGGTTCCCACAACACTATAAAAAGGAGGTCTTCCTTCTTCTCTTCTACATGTCACAAATGAATAGGAGACAAGATATAATGACCTGAACTCAGGAAAATTCCATAGGGCTGTACACTAGAAATTACTTTCTCACCACTACTTTCCACCTTTTAAAGATCTCATTCTTTGCAATAACTCAACAGGCTAGAAATCAAGGTTGTAGCCCATATGTCTTTGTGAATCATGGAATATGGTCTCTATAACAGAATATATTTAATCAACTGCACTTACCTGCATAGTAAAATTATGTTTACTAATCCATTAATTAAAACAATGGACTTTGTGAAATGTTAGGTGTAAGTCTGAACAGTTTCTGACACATCATTGATTTTCCTCAGACTCCTCACTCTGTCTGCAGTGAGAGTTGTGATCCTGGATTCAGGAAATCTCCTCAGGAGGGAAAGGCTGCCTGTTGCTTTGATTGTGCCCCTTGCCCAGAGAATGAGATTGCTAATGAGACAAGTAAGTCCATGAATTATGAAGCAACTGTTCATCTCTCCTTAGGTTTCCTCAATCCAAACAAGTCCAGCCAATGTTGTATATTGGGATTACAATGCCTGTTTTCCCTCTCTCTGATCATAATTTCATTTTGACAAGTGGTGGTACTACTAATTGGAATACAATAAATCATGGCTTTGTATTACATATTCAGTAGTATTTTCTAGTCCATTTCAGTGAATGTAATATCAAGAAATCCTTCTTATCACTAACCATTAGGACAAGTATAAACTCTAATCTGAAATTAAACGTCTTATTAAGGACAATGTTCATCTTAAAGGTTAAATTTTACCTACACAAAAAAAGAGATCTTGCATATCTTTATTTCTCAGTGCCCAGAACTAGTCTTGGCATGAGGCAAGTGCCCAGAAAGGTGGAGTTAGTTTAAGAAGTAAGCAGGACTTTAGAGTGTCTAAGAGTGGTCGCTCCATTCCTACTGTTTAACAGGTGAGCAGGTGACACAATCAAAATGCGATCAATTCAAGGGTAAGGGACCATGGGGATAAGTGAATGTTTTACAGAGACATGCAAAAACTGTAACCTATATGATTACAATTATCAATAGGATTGCAGAACTGTGCACAATTCTGTTACTAAGAGTGTAAGTGTAGAACCTTGTTGCTTTGATATTACAATATCCCAACTGTCATATTATCAATACATGTGATAGTCACTGAAGGAAGAAAAATGTTGAATAAAAAAACACAAATGAAGAAGAACATGGAAATGGGAAACAGTTTAGAAAGAACATATACATTTATTTTTATATGTTTTTCATTGTAAAAATACTGTACAGAGGGGTTATAGTTACATGAGTAAGATAATGAGTACATTTCCTATGTAGAATTGTTGACTCCTCATTCCTTCCTTCCCACCTCCCCAAATTCTGCACTGTACCCCTCCACACCCCCACCAGTTGTAAAGTTCGTTTTCAACATAGTGTCTTGTACATCTCATTGTTACAATGGGTCGACCTGTATCCCTATTTAAGTGTTTTGTTTTTTCCTTTTCCCTCTCCAAATCAGAAAAGTGTATATAAAAGATGCAGAGCACCAGAATCAAATATAATGCAAAAAGAAAGGATTATACCATGGAGCAGGAACATAAATATAAAAGAAACAAAAACAATTACATAGTGCATTATAAATATGTTAAAAGCAATAGCAAGGAAGAATAAACTACTTGTATCCCTGTCTTGGGGTTTATTTCACTTTACATAATCTTATATGGTCATATGTATATAGCTTTTGATCTTTTCAACTTCTATTAGACATATACTAGTTATGGCAAATAATTTTATGATAATAAATGCTGAAATTTTAGAATTACCTGTAAATGAAAATTTTCCTAAATTGTGTGAAGGAAAGAAATTCATAACAAGGACTAACCAAATTCATAATAAGAACTAACCGTAGTGTACACTTCTCAACAGATATGGAGCATTGTGTAAGGTGTGAAGATCATCAGTATGCCAACACACATAGGACTAAGTGCCTCCTGAGAGTTGCAAGTTTCCTGGCTTTTGGCGATCCCTTAGGCATGGCTCTGGCCTGCATAGCTCTTTGCTTCTCTATGCTCACTGTTGTTGTTCTTGGGATGTTTTTGAAATACAAAGACAGTGCCATTGTTAAGGCCAATAACAGGGCTCTCAGCTACAACTTGCTCATCTCTCTCATCTTCTGTTTCCTCTGTTCTTTGCTCTTTCTTGGCCGACCCAACGCAGTCACATGCATCCTGCAGCAGATCACATTTGGGGTTGTGTTCACTGTGGCTGTTTCCACAGTGTTGGCCAAAACAGTGACTGTGGTTCTGGCCTTCAAGGCCACTTCTCCAGGGAGAAAAATAAGGTGGCTGCTTGTATCGGGGGCTCCTAAATTCATCATCCCCATCTGCACCCTCATCCAGGCAACACTCTGTGGACTCTGGCTGGGAGCCTCTCCTCCCTTCGTTGACACAGATGTGCACTCTGAACATGGTCATATCATAATCCTGTGCAACAAGGGCTCCCTCACTGCCTTCTACTGTGTCCTGGGATACCTGGGATTCCTGGCCTTGGCCAGCTTCACTGTGGCTTTTCTGGCCAGGAACCTGCCTGACACCTTTAATGAAGCCAAGTTCCTGACCTTCAGCATGCTGGTGTTCTGCAGTGTGTGGATCACCTTCCTGCCTGTATACCACAGTGCCAAAGGGAAGGTCATGGTGGCTGTGGAGGTCTTCTCCATCTTGACCTCTGGGGCAGGGCTCCTAAGCTGCATTTTTGCTCCAAAGTGCTACATCATCTTGGCAATGCCAAATAGAAATTCTCTGCATGGTTTCAGGGATAAAAAACATGGTAGGAGAAACAAGCATTATTAAGATTAAACACATTTTTTATTATTATTTAGAAGCTCTGATTGTTAAATCCACAGTAATTTCCCCTTCTTGTAATAAATATTATAGATTTTTTTAATTTCAATGTGTTAGTACCTATTGTGTATTTTTGTAGGATTTGTAGTCACAAGTAGTGTTGATCACTATTAAAATTGGAATTCTTTTTAAATTTTTTTCTTCTAATTTAATCAAAGCTTAATTCTATCATTTCCTCTTCTTAGTGTCTTCCTTATTGTCTTTCAATCACTTTTCCAAATTTTTAAGTATGTTCACTTCCTTTCTATACACCACAATTTTGTAAAGTCCTCTAATCTCTATGTCTGTCTCTTTGTCTTTGTCTTTCTCTATGTCCTCTTGTTCTACTCTTTCTCTCTCTTGCCATATTTCCCTCATATAACTTTAAGAATGATTGTATATGTTACAAAAATATGCTTATGTTTCAGATTACAATATACAAGATTTTTTGTCTTTTCTCTTAATATGAAAATGTGTAATGCATGATAGTTTATTCTTCAATGCCTAGATATACTTTTAAATGTATTGTTGATTAATCACTCTTTATTAATTTGATACATAAAATTTTGAATGTTAAAATGTCAAATATTATGTCTTATAATGTTTTCACTTCTTACAATCTGTTGATTCATCAACATTTTATCTGTCACTTTTCAAACTCTTAATTTGATCAGGAAAGCATTAGTTATTATTTCAAATAGATTGATGTACTAGCTTCTATACTATTTTCACATGTTTACATACATAAGGCATATGGGCAAAACTTACATGTTTCCTGTGTCTTCTACTGTTCATAACGTGTTTCTTCTGATATTAATTAAATTTATTTATGCATGCTTCAAGTCAGGGCTTAAACTGCCCGTTGCCTTTGTCACTCAATACTGCTTTACCAGTGGAACTTCCATTCCTATCTTTTTGGTCTTTACTTGGAAAGAAGAGTCTCATTAACTTTCCTGCTCAGGCTGACTTCGAACCTCTTCTCACATTTACATTTCCAATAAAAACATGACAATATAATTGACTACGGTTTTCTACTCTGTAAATTTTAATTGAAAATATAACAAGGAATTGCAAAATATTCTGTGTGTAATATTCTTTTGTTGAGGGCATGCTTTTTAATTTTTAATATGTATTTCATTGTAAAGATAGTGTACAGAGGGGTTACAATTACATGAGCAAGGTAATGAGTTTTCATTTCCTATTGAGCTTTTACACCTTCCTTTATATTTCCCTTACCATCACTTTCCTTGCCACTCCCCAATTCCTCCCTACCCCACAAAGTTGTAAAGTTTGTTCTCAACATGCTGTCTTGTACATTTCATTGTTACAATGGGTCATCCTGTATCCTTATTTCAGCATTTTGCTATTTCCCTTCCCCTATTCAAATTAGAAAAAAATGTTCATACAAGATGCAGGGCACCAGAATCAAATGCAGTGACAACAGGGTTTGTACCATTAGGGAAGAACTTACAAAAGAAAAACAAAAAAAACCCAGGACCTCTCAAGGCTTGCCCTGTCCTCCACAGGCCTTCCCTGCTCTGTTCCAGCAGGCTTTTCAATCCTGCTGTCTCTCCCTTCACTCCTACTACTCTCTTTCCACTGCACTAACTAACTAACTAACTAACTAACTAACCAACTAACTAACTAACGGTCTTTTCCTAACGGTTCTTCCCTTAACTGTATTCTAACTGCCATTCATGCTCCTACCCCAAGCTGCCCACTTTGCAATCACTTCTTCAGCTATCCATGTGGTTCTCAATGCTCCACCCCTCCAGTAGCATGCCCCCCACTTTCACATCCATTCTTTCCCCACGATGCCCCAACCCCTTTCAGCAGCATGGCAGCTCTCCCTTAGTACCTCATAGGGTGGTAATGTCAGCCTCTGAAAGCCCTGCTCTGTCAAGGTGGCTTGGTCTGTGGAGTGGTGAAGCTTGCCTATTGATGGCTTACCCCTCCAGCAGGCTGGGCCACCAGGCCATGCTGACTATTGGGCCCTACTGATTATTGGAGCCCGCAGGTTATTACATTCCCCACTGGTTTTCATGTTCAATCAACTCAGTGATTCCTTCTGCACCAAATCCTAAACTTTGTCTTCTCTCCTGCATTGACCAGTCTTAAAATGCAAATTTAACACATAATAAGGAGCAACCATATAAACAAACTAGTTAACAATATTTAACACTTGGTAAGTCTTATCCTTAAGGGATCATCTGAGTGTCTCTGAACAGTCCATCTTGCAGCCTTCTATGGATATTGTTTCACTGCCTGTTTCACTTGAGATTGATGCATCCAATACTGTTTTCCTGTAACATTAATAGTCGATGGTGTAGTTAGCACTACTGAGTAAAGTCCTTGCCACTTGGGTTCTAATTTAGGAGCATGATGCCTTTTACCCACACCAGCTGTCCAGACAAGGAAGAATGGCTACAGTTTTCCTCAAGAGGCTGGTGGGCCTCTGCTATCAAAGGAGAGGCATGCAAAAGAACATGTTGCAAAGCCTGCAGGGACAGTACAAGATTGTGGTTACACATTTCTGTAAATATAGCTCTCCCAAGTTTAGGAACCAAAGGGAATGGTCTACCATAAATTATTTCAAAAGGAGTGAATCCTCTAACATAAGGGGTGTATCTTTCTCGAAGGGAGCAAAAAGGAGGCTTACCCAATCATGGCCAGTCTCTGTAACTAATTTAGTTACAGTTTCCTTTAAGGTTTTATTCATTCTTTCCACCACCCCTTAACTCTGAGGTCTAAAATAAAATGGAAGTTTAAATTTATTCCTAGGGCCTTAGCCAACAATTGAGTAACTTGGGCATGAAGTTCAGGCCACTGTCAGACTCCACTGCTAAGTGTAAGCCAAATTGAGAAATTATTTCACGGAGTAAATGTTTTACTGTTACCTGAGAGGTTTCGGTTTTTTTGGGAATGCCTCTGCTCAGCCTGAAAAAGTGTCCACTAGTACTAACAGATACCAATACGCATACTTCACAGGCTTTACTTCTGTGAAGTCCACTTCCCAAAATTCTCCAGGTGAAGTACTTCACCTATGCACACTCTCCACAGACACTGTGGCTATTTGTCTGTGTGTGTTTGATAATAACTCTATCCATGTCTTGTATATACCTCTGCTTACTCCTTTTTTCTAGGATAGAACAATGGCCTAAAGTTGTCATAACTGAAAAACCTTCTCCCCCAATGTTACAGGATCCCCTAGAGGAAGACTGATTAGTGTACTCTCCTTCCCATTCCGTCATCACCACTTCCAATGTTAAGTACCTCCCATATCAGAAGTTTTTCCTTGTACCAGACTGTGCTAGTACAAGGTGGTACAGTCCCCTCATTACCATTGAGAAAAGCGCATGGGGGAGATGGTGGACAAGTACACTCTAGTGTATGTTCCCTTTGCAATTAGTGGTCTGTGTAATGGGAAACAGTATAATCTATCCTTCTCTGAAAAAATCCCAGGGCCTCATCTCTTTATTAGAGATAGTATTTTTTACACACCAGTCCACCTGGGATGATTGTCAGCAACTTTTACAGGTGCTTTTCACCTTGGAGGGAAAGGAGTGAATGCAGCACAGTGCCTTGAAGGTGGTCCTTGGACCAGATGGTTTACCCACAGATGACCCAGTCTGTTTGGAGCAAGTCTTTCCCCTGACTTGCCCAAGCTGGGATTACAACACCAATCAAGGTAAGCAGATGCTTACCAATTATTGCCAGACTCTTTTAGCAGGGCTATGGGCAGAAGCTAGGAATTCAACTAATTTATCTAAGGTGAGTGAGACTGTACAGCTCCCAGTGAGTCCTCTGCTGCTTTTCTAGAATGTCTCTTGGAGGCCTATAGGAATTATTCATCTAGATCCTGAGGCCCCATAGAATCAAAGAGCCCTAAATATGGCCTCTGTTACCCAGTGGGGCCCAGATATTAGAAGAAAGTTTCAAAAGTTAGAAGGTTTTGAGGGGAAAGGTGTTATCTGAGTTGGTAGCAGTTGCCCAGCAAGTGTTTGATAAAAGATACCTATTCAAAAAAGTGAAAAGATGGAAGAGGTGGATAAGGAGGGATGAATTAAATATTGAAAGGAGTGCCCTTGATCAAGATATATATGGTATTCATAAACTACTTTGTTAAAAGCAACTCCATTGTACAATGATCAAAAGATAATTTTAATTTAAAAATAAAAATAAATAATCAAGCTTTTAAAAATATTTTGATATGTCCCTGCATATATTTATATAATGGGCTTTTTTTAGAAACACAACAAATAACATCTTCAACACCATCCCTTTTTAAAATGATAATTACATTCTTTATTATCCCATGTTCATTAATACATATTAAATATCTTGGTTAAAGGGAAACACATTTCCATTGACCTTCTGCCTCTACCACAAAACATGACCTGTATTTCTTTCCCACCATTCATTTTTGTTCATCATTTTTGTGTCAGTATTATGGCTTCAACTCAGAGCCTGAGTGACAATCCTTAGCTTCTTTGTGATCTATGCAGATTCTTTCATTCTGACACACACCCACTTGTAAATGCTTTCTTGAGGACCATGATAGGCAAGTACTGGAGAATGAGCCATGTCTCTATCCTATCTTTGCAATTTTTTGTGATAGTATCTTGTTTGCAATATGTCCAGGCTTGAGCTCTAGTCTTTCCAGTGATATTTGCTGCCACATCTGGAATGGCTGCAATATGCCTCAATATTCAGCTTCTTCTATTTAGCCAGAATGTCAGAAAATTTCTAGCCTGGGCTAGCTTGGAATCACAATCTTCCTGATCTCAGCCATCCTTCTAAACACAATCACACCCACATACATTCACACAGACACACAGATATAAATGCACACACCCCCCCACCCACCCACCCCCCCCCACACACACATAAACAAATAGGTTAATACAAAGCATGTACCATTCCTCCAAGCTACAGATTAAGAGGGTCTTATGAAAAGTATGCCAAGGCTG